GGAGGGAGCTAGCGGTATACGATCGTCGGACGCTTGGAGAGGGAATAGTGGTGGGAGTCGCGGCGATCTTCCATCCTCTATCGCAAACGTAAGAACGAGAGAAATAGCATTATAAGACGTCTGGACAGAAATGCCGTCCTAAAATACGTGTGACACACACTAAGAAAACGCTTGACTCACACTGTCTCGTCTATACGTGAGCAATACGCGGTGTCCCGACGACTGTTTCGCTCGCTCGAACGTTCATGCATTTTTCATTGTTAGCAAGGAAATTACTGTAATGTAAAAATCTTGGGGAAAGGTTTTTAGGAGGCTTTGACAAATGCTTCTTAATAGCTACTCTTGAAAAAAAAATAAATATTAGATTTATTTTAATAGAATTATTTTAACCAACATAGAATATGTTGCAACAATATAACGTTTGTGTAGGTTGTCGATCGAAGAAGAGTATTTTTAATTTTATTGTTGCATAAACACGCGAGATATAATTATTTCATATTTTATGCGTTCGAGTATCGTTCCATCGTTATAAAATTTGGTGGCCCTGAGAAGGGCCGATTTTTGTGTCGAAGCAGTTGAGGTCGATAGTCAATAGTAGAAACGGGTCGCATTTTTGTATCCATAGTAATAAGGAACAATAATTATTTGAAACAGGCGCAAAAATCGGCCCTTTTTAGAGTCACCAAATTTTATAACGATGGAACGATACTCGAACGCATAAAATATGAAATAATTATATCTCGCGTGTTTATGCAACAATAAAATTAAAAATACTCTTCTTCGATCGACAACCTACACAAACGTTATATTGTTGCAACATATTCTATGTTGGTTCAGAATTCTATATTAAAATAAATCTAATATTTATTTTTTTTTCAAGAGTAGCTATTAAGAAGCATTTGTCAAAGCCTCCTAAAAACCTTTCCCCAAGATTTTTACATTACAGTAATTTCCTTGCTAACAATGAAAAATGCATGAACGTTCGAGCGAGCGAAACAGTCGTCGGGACACCGCGTATTGCTCACGTATAGACGAGACAGTGTGAGTCAAGCGTTTTCTTAGTGTGTGTCACACGTATTTTAGGACGGCATTTCTGTCCAGACGTCTTATAATGCTATTTCTCTCGTTCT